GTAACAGACACAAAAAGAGAAAGAGGAAGATCGAGGAATAAGTACATGGGACAGATAAAGGAAACACTAGGTGTCATGTCGTATAGGGAGGTCAAAGATATGGCCTGGGATAGAACTGGCTGGAAGAGAATACATAAATTAGTTTCCTCGACATTTAAATGAAAACAAGAAGATTGCAGCGGCCTGGTCTGCGAAAAACTGCAGCAAACTAATCTGTTAAGTGTATTGTATCACGAAAGAGTTAGTCGGACATTTAAATTGACATAGACTAGAACAGACAGACCAGAGGGAGACTGTACAAAAGTCGTTTGCTTCGGCACCTCTGTCCCATTCGTGTTTTTACCATGAAGCAGCTGTGTTTCAGGTGTTGAATTTACAGGATACAGAGGAATAACACCTGAGTTCTCAGAAATGGCAACACATGGGGGGTATCATGGGTAAAACAGTATACTCTGTTATGTCTATGGTACTGCTCATGTCTATAGGCAATGGTTACTGGGCCGTCAGCTTGTTTGCCATTCTAAGTTGTTAAAAAAAGACCAGATTAGAACATACGACCCTTGAGGTTAAAAGTTGCGATAATGTACCACTAAGTTTATGCTTTATATAATACATTTATTTCCAAGAAATCATTAACTGAATTGATGAATCAATTTGCTTTCCAAATATAGAGTGTATCGACTAAAGTAACTTCGCTTTCCTGTTTTAACTTTACGTAACATCAATATCCACGGTACAACAAAGTTCTCGCACCATTGTAATGACCTACAAAATTTTATTGAAACAGGAAATATTTTATGAATATCGGCATTAAATTGTAACAGGGGAGCATGGTGTGTGGACCAAGTTAAAAGATATTTTACTTGAACAGCGAAAAATCTAATATAGGTGTTCCTAAACTTTAAAGATATCGGAACACCCAAGAAATACCTTTTATTTTATAGAACTCTATACAAAATTATTACAAATCAAAAACTCTGTAATTTAAATAAGAACAATAGCTTTTATTAGTTTTTTTTTTTAAGTTTAGCACTTTATTTAGTTTTATCTTTAACTTTTAATGTGAAGAATTAAATTGTTTCACTGTATAAATAATTTCGCGGAGCTCCAGTGACTTCTTAACGGAACCTCTAGGTTTCACTGAACTTTTTTAGGGATCCCTGATCTAAGTCGCTTTCAAAGTCGGGCAGCTCGAATTGTTGACGATTGTCGCCTTACTGTACAGCTCGACCCACTGAAACTGCGTAGAGATGTTGCATTTCTGTGCATCTTCTATCGAATTTATCATGGGGAGTGCTCTGAGGAATTGTTCGAATTAATACCTGCTGCTGATTTTCACCATCGTACGGATAGTACGAGTTTTAGTTTATGGCGAGTACGCCATAAACTATATCATTTGCATTATTTACAGCATATAAATAACAACAGACACAATAAAAAGAGATAAAAGAATACATATACAAAAAAAGCAAAATACATGAAAGAAGCTACACATTTTATGCTTCCGTACATAGTATTCGTATAATAACTTCAGAATTACCCTTTAGCGATTACAATCAATGGATTTATTTGAACAAAATTTAAATAATTAAAACCGCCTGTCGCTCATGGCCTACAGCAGCTCCTAACCGCTCCTCGTCCGTACGATATCTACCCTCAATCTGGCTGCACTACTTAGCACGTTACTGTTAATGCCCCGCTTAACCCCGGCCTGTTCGAGAACCTTCCGAAAGCAAGCCAACCACTGAAACAATACACTTTATTACGGCACAATCAAATGGAATTAGTTACGGAAACTCTTGTTTCTTTTATCCGTTTCCGCTTTTCTTTTGTCTTTTTTTTTTACACCACTGAGGCGGCAAACAAGCATACGACCCACCTGTCGTATCACTATAACTACGTACACACAAAACACCAGGAAGGAGTTGGTGTCGAGTCGCATCTTGATACGACATGACACCAAATCCTTCCTTGATCCGCCTGATGTAACTATGTCTCGGTCTCCCTCTTCCCCTCCTTCCTTCTATCTTACCTTCTATTATAATGTTCATAAGTTCGCCGTGTCGTATCAAGTGTCCCAACATTTTTTCTCTTCTGTCCTCTATAGTTCTAATAATTTGTCTTTTTTCCTTAACCCTAAGGAGGACCTCCTCATTGCTAATTCGATCCCTCCAGCTAATTTTCTCCATCCTTTTCCAGCACCACATTTCAAAGATAAATAAATAAGGGTAGTTAAAAATAAAATGTATTAATTCAGCAACAACACAATAATTACCAATTTAGAAATGTTCTCGCCATATCTAAACGGAATTGAACAACTAACCGTTGTTTTAACATAATTTGTTAATTCCCATGTAATTCTTTTGAATGGTAACAATTCTTTAAATGGCTCGTTAAAGTTCTCACTTTGCGCGATAGCTCTTTATAGCAACAATCACGGAACCCGCGGCCTCAACTAAAATAGTTTAAGCGGTAGCAAAAGTATATAGAATCCGAACAGAACGCCACTTGCATACAAAACATTGTGAAAGAAGCTATGACGCTAAAATTTTTTTGATGATACCTTAAACAGCAAGCATGCTAACGACACACCTAATGAAGGAAGGGATTGTTAGTAATGCGAACTACCAGTCCCATTGCTGGCAATATACCCTATCAGATCGACCTCCACGTGGTCCCCCCTGGAATATCGTGCTGAATTCCATTTGTGTTTATCACGATAGGCTAATCGACGTGTCTTTTCATTCTTACCTACTCATCCCTCACTGGTGCCCCGCCAGCGTATAGCGTTAGCGCTGGTGGGGCTACCATTCCATTGTCATCTATTAAAAAGGCTCACTTGATGGATAGTGGAAACCAGAGGGAGACTTTGTACAAAAGTCGATTGCTTGGGTACCTCTGTCCCATTCGTGTTTCAACCTTGAAGCAGTTGTGCTTGTATGGCTGTGTTTCGGTGTAAAGGATTGGATATGACGTGAATTTACTGGGTACAGAGGAATAACACCTGAGTCCTCAGGAATGGCAACGTATGGGGGGTATGATGGGCGAAACAGTATACTGTTATGTCCACGGTACTGCTCATGTGTATAGGCGACGGTTACCACTTTCCATCAGGTGGGCCGTTAGCTTGTTTGCCATTCTACGTTGTATAAAAAAAACATCACCTATAGACATGAATAGCATTACGAGCAACACACAATTTACTGGCATATACATACTATATAGTATCCCTCGCGTCTTGCCATTCCTAAAGAATGTGGTATTATACCTTCGCACCCTATAATTTTACTGCCATATCCCAACCTTCAAACCTAATTTAAATAACACTTGTGCAGCAATGTTTGTTAAAAAAAAAGCAACAGTTGAATTTCTTGTCTGTTCTACACAGCTGAATTTACATTCTGAATGCATTGTAGAATCACATAAAAATAACTATTCAAAAATGCTTGTGATTATGTTTGTTTTACTTGAATAATTAAGTTTTACTTTAATGAATGAAATAATATTTATTTATATGAAACACTGCAAGTATATAGATGTAACAATCCACATATTTCGCATAGTCTTGCATAGTCTCTGGTCACAACAAATCTAATACTATAAAAAGAAAAATTTAATTGTATATTTCTAATGTTTTTTTCTTTTTTTATGGGTGATAATGGAATGGTAACCCCGTCTGCACTATCGGTATACGCAGGCGGGGTACCAGTGAGGGATGACAGATGAAGATGAAAGTAGGTCAGTTAGCCCATCCTAACGAATTAAACTAGAATTAGTTATGATGGTTTCCAGGGGCAATCACGTGGAGGTCGACCTGACAGGGTATATTGCTAGTAATAGGGCTATTTGACCCCATTACTAACAATCCCTTTCCCCCATATTTGTAATGGTTAACCTCAATAAACATTTAAACGATATTTATTCATTTAACTAATAATATTTAACTGAACTAGATATTATTTTATGAAAGTCCATATCACTGGTTATTACGTTTGGTCAGGCATTCACAATGCATCGAACAGTTAAAACTATGTTCCGAGTAGCAATTTGTTAATTTGCCTGAATATGCCTCGTTCAAAAGTGAAAACATGTGTCGCAAAACATGCCTGGACGGAATGGTGGTCGAAGATTGATGGCTAATATGGAAGATTGTAAAACTTCTGGTGTTGGCAGTCGCACACATATTAATGGTAGCGGAATTAAACAAAATAATTCTAACCAATTTTTTTTTATACAACTTAAAATGGTAAACAAACTGACGGCCCACCTGATGGAAAGTGGTAACCGTCGCCTATAGACATGAGCAGTACCATGGACATAACAGAGTATACTGTTTCGCCCATCATACCCCCCATGCGTTGCCATTCCTGAGGACTCAGGTGTTATTCCTCTGTACCCAGTAAATTCACGCCATATCCCACCCTTCAAACTAAAACACAGCCATGCAAACAGCTGCTTCACGGTTGAAACATGAATGGGACAGAGGCACCCAATCAATCGACTTTTGTACAAAGTCTCCCTCAAAAACCAAGTAACTAGTAACTAATAAATCGAAGGTTATAACATCCTTAACCCACTGTTTATGTTCTACTCTATGGCACATTATTCCGACCGCGTGCCCTTACAATTTATTCACTACCTATCACAGTTTACATGACTTAACATGCGATAACATCGGAACTTAAACCAGTATTTAAAATGACGTTATAATTACTTTTAATCGGTACTAATCACTTGTAAAGCTAGTAAAAGTTGACAGTAAACTAATTCTATTAAATGGTATGAATAGAAATAAAATATTAGACGTGTTACACGGTATTGCTTACTTCATTATATCAGCCTTTAACTGTCCACTGCTGAACATAAGCCTCCCTCTTAAGTGTTTGACCAATCGTTGCCACGTTTGGCAGGCGGATTGGCAACCGCAGTTAGGCTTTAGAGATGTTTTAAGATTACGATATTGCTAGTTTCTAATATAATAAAATATATGAACAACTCACCTGCAGCCGGCGACAATTTTGTTACGACTCCCCATCGGGACTTCCACTGGAACAAACAAGAAATTATTTCATTATTTTTGATAATCGATGATGAGTGTGGAATCAGCTGTAAACTGTCCAATGCTGGACATAGGTCTCCCCTTTCGTGGGTTTATTTTTTTTTATTTTTTATACAACTTAAAATGGCAAACAAGCTGACGGTCCACCTGATGGAAAGTGGTAACCGTCACTACATTTAAAATAAGCTAAGACTTTAATCCACACAAAACGTCGATTTTAACGTGACACAATCAGTTATTTTAATTTAAAAACTAAAAAAACACAAATAAAAAAAAATTCAAACCGGTTCATAAATAACGGAGTTATGAGGTAATAAATATAAAAAAAGCCTTTTTGAAGTCGGTTAAAAAACGAGACTCAATACCATAGGCTGATTTTTAGTTTACGGAAATCCCCTCAGCTTCCCTCGATGCTTAAACAACAATACATTGGCAAGATAAAAAATCGCTTTGAATAACTCTGTCAGGAACAGACAAAAAAATACATATAGAAACCCCACAGCATCGCCACCCTTCTCTTATAGGGCAGTTCGAGAGAAATGATCCAAAATTTTATCTCCTATCTCCCGTGTCAAGTAAATTTGTTCAGTTTCCTCGAGTTTCCGCGATATAGGTGACGTGTGTACCACGGTACAAGTAATCCGAAGACAGTGCCCTAGTTGCTTGGAATTTATGAAGGTGCAATAGCTTTTTATTATTTATTTTCGATGTATAAAGTTTAAGAGACCTTTGTGTCCTTAAAATAATTGAGTTCGATATTTTATATATATATATTTTTTATACTCCTAGTTGCCTGTAAAGATTTTACTCGAATTACTTTTCAACCGATTTCAAAAAGGAGATGAAAATCTCCTTTATGAAGTTCGGTCGTTTTTCTTTTTCATGTTTGTTGCCTCATAACTCCGTTAGTTCTAAACAAATTTGGAAAATTCTGTTTGTGGGTAGTCGTATAATAAATATAAAATTTACGAAGAGAAAATAATATCTTTGAAGTTATTTTAAATATAAAGATTAATAAATAGCAGTCACAAAAATAATAAAAATTCGAGAACAATTTACAGACCAAAGCTTCAAATTTTAATTTTCCAAAATATTACTCCTCCCTCTAAACAATAATTTTAGACATTTTATCTGTCTGTGTGTTTGCTCCGGTATCACGCCAAAACCATTACACCAAATTTGATGTAATTTCAATAGATGTATTTAAAAAAATCTAACTTAAAATCTAGTGAATGACTCATCTTGATACACCTTTGAAAATTGATATATTTCATTGGTGGTTTTTTCTACTTCAAAAATCCATGCGTATGAAGTAGAGAGGGGGTCGGCAACGCGCGCGTAACACCTCTGGAATTGCAGGTGTTCATAGGCTACGGTAACCGCTTACCATCAGGTGGGCCGTATGCTTGTTTGCCACCTCAGTGGTAAAAAAAAGAGAGGGAACAGAGAACAGATAGAAGGCGGAGAACTAGTTAATTATAAAAAAAAATCTAAGCAGACTCAAATCCAGGTTTAAAATACTAAAGCTATCTAAACTAGGCTTAAGTCCTTTCATATATATATGTATATACATATATAGGGACTTCAGAATACCTAAAGGGCTTATGGACAAAAGGACAGTCGGCAGATTCAGCATAATCTCCTTACTTGAAACGTATACATTCAATTAAAACACTTCTTGGGCGGTGCATTGTTAATTCGAATTGTGGAACTCGGGTCTGTTGCAGGCGTTACTAAGACGGTTTTTCAATAAAATATTAACTTGGAAATCCTGTAGGGTGTCCCATTTGTGGGAGATAATAGGATTGTCTTATGGACGACGAACTGTCGTGGCTTGAGCGTTTAAAATGGCCGCTCTAGATGGAACATAACATATAATTTATTTGCTCCACACCACTTTTACAACATTTTAATCCTAACGCCATCTTCCCTCATTCATTCGTCGACCAATCATAAGAAGTGTCTCGAATTAGGCAAAAGGAACTGGTTCAGCAAATAATGTGAGTATTCCAGTGCGATATGTACAGCTGCACAGCTTTTTAAAGCCAGAAAAAAGAAAAGACTAGCTTTACGCCTGTAAAGCTAGTCTTTTCTTAACATATACAAGTTGTTCCCGTAAGTCATGGATTAAACGAATTCTGGCGATATTGGGGGTCAAGCTTTATAAAAAACAAAAAAAAAATTAAGGCACTCTGGGTATAAACAATATATATATGAATTGTCTTCCAAGAGGAAGATATTGAAGTCCTGAATGCTAATAATTCTACATTTCTAAAAGCAGCAGTTTTACTAATTATTGCACAAGCATTGATTAGGCAGTAAATTTTTTAGTAAATTTTTCTCTGTTGTTAAAATTAATGTCATCCTTTTTTCACCAAAAATAGAAGAGATAATAATAATGTGGTGTGTATCCGGGTTTTCTTAGTGAGATTTATGGTCATCCTAATTACGAGGGCGTACGCCGAGGGCCGAGGACCCGTAGGATTAGCCGCGTACTTATACCGGCCAGGGAGTGTCGGCTTACTTTTGCTAACTTAATTGTACGCACGCACTCATAGTATTACTGTACCATACAACGTTATGTTGTCCTGGTACTGTAATATCTACTTTCAACCGACTTCAAAAAGAAGAGGGTTCTCAGTTCGATTTTTTTTTATGTTTCTTACCTCATAACTCATAATAGTTTTACCCAACCAGATCGACCTCCTCGCGGTTCCCCCTGGAAACTATCATGGTTAATTCCTGATGAATTCATCATGATGGGCTAACTGGCCTGTTTTCATTCTCATCTATCACCCTTCACTGGTGCTCCGTAAGCGTATCCGGTTAGCACAGGCGCATGGGGTTACCATGCCATTTTCACCCATAAAAAAAAACTCACAACAGTTACCACATACCAGAGGGAGACTTTGTACAAAAGTCGATTGCTTGGGTATCTCTGTCCCATTCGTGTTTCAACCGTGAAGCAGCTGTGTTTGCATGGCTGTGTTTCGGTTTGAAGGGTGGGATATGTCGAGAATTGACTGGGTACAGAGGAATAACACCCGAGCCCTCAGGAATTGCAACGCCGGGGGTGGTATCATAGGCGAAACAGTATACTCTGTTATGTCCATGGTACCGCTCATGTCTATAGGCGACGGTTACCATTTTCCATCAGGTGGGCCGTCAGCTTGTTTGCCATTCTAAGTTGTATAAAGAACAAACCCCCAAGGAGGAGGCTATTTTTTTATACCACTGAGATGGTAATCAAGCATACGGCTCACCTGATGGCAAGTGACTAACGCCTATGAACACCTGCAATACTATAAATATTACGCGCGCGTTGCCGACTCTGAAGAAACCTCTTTACGCCCCTTTTGAAGAACCCCATGCTGTAGTCTCTCGGGAAAACCTCGGCAGGGAGCTCATTCCATAACCTAAGTGTTCGTGGGAGGAAAGATCTCTGAAACCGCATTATACGTGACCATTTAGGCTGTAGGGTATGAGGGTGAACTCTCTGTCGATGGCGAGCCGTACGTACGATATGTGGCTATGTTCAGCAGTGGACAGTTAAGAGCTAAAATGATGATGATGATGATGATGATGATGATGATTATGATTATGATGATGATGATGATGATATGAACAAATAAGTATATTTTAATGATATTTATGATATCAATGTGTATGATATTAAAAAACTCTTTATACTGTGGTATTATTATATTTTTAAACGACTATTTAAGTTTTTTTTTACAACACAGGGGGCAAACGAGCATGCGGCTCACCTAATGGCAAGTGACTACCGCCGCCCATGATCACCCACAACACCAACGGCATTGCAGGCGTTTTAAAATGGAATATACTCTTTTCTTGAAAGTTATGTTGTCGTATCGTATAACCAACTTTATATGAGAACAGACATTTTTTAAATCGGGAAAATGCATCATGCACAACCCCCATAGATTAAAGATTCGTTTAATTCAAAATCTACTTCGCTTATCTTCCTAAGTAAAGGTTTTTTTTGACAATAACCTTTAAAGTTATCATGTTCAGATGACGGCATTTAATCTCATTGTGCATTCACGCCGCGCCGTTCGGGGGCGAGCAGGCACACTTATCTCTAAGACGTCACTACCAATGGCACTACTGTCATTTGCCATTGGCTTAACTAGAAAAAGGTTTTCCCTTGCCATCATGAAATTTTTAAAATATTGTTTGCAATTAAATATTTTTCTTTATTAGGGTTCTGTGAGAGACGATTTATTTTATTCTATATAACGATCCAACATGACAATGTATAGGCTACGGTAACAGTTTAGTATCAGATGGGCCGTATGCTTACCACCTCAATGATATAAAAAGTGAATAAATTATTAAAAATTGTTTAAAGATTGATACAGATTATAAAAATTAACAATATGCACAAAAACAAATATAATAAATATTTACATATACGTAAGATAAAGAAGTGAGGGGTAAGTGGCAACTAAGGGAACCTAATGGTCGAGAGATAGGCAGCAGCATTCCTCTCTTAATATCACCAAAGCCTAACTGCGGTTGCCAACCCGTCTACCACACGTGGCAACTACTGGCGAAAACTCCCTTATAAGGGGGACTTCGGTCGATCTTACATCTTAGTTACTCGAACGAAGTCGCGGGTAAAAGTTAATTATAAACATATATTACATTCACTAACAAAAAAGAATGTGCTGATTGTATTTGAAATATATACTTTAATAACTGTCAATAAAGATTAATTTAAAATGAACCCTTTTTAAGTACTCGAACCCCTTCAATTCGAGTGTAAAATAAAGGCATAGAACATAACAATAGGTTACGAGTGTATTCTGTAGCGTTATTTTATAAAAATAAACGGATCAATCACAGATTTTCCAAAATGGCTGAGTCATTTCTGTTCGATGCAATCTTAATGGGTGCTACTTTATATTTTTGGCACTATTTTAAATATGAAGCTTAGACTAGTTTTTTTTTTTATACAACTTAA